ATATATATATATATATATACGTGCAGTGCATGCATGCAAGCTGCTCATGCAGAGTATTGCAATGTTTTGCAGCAATCCTTTAAAGGAAAAAGTGGCGGACCTTCTTCAGCGACGGCCGCAACTGTGGATGTCGCGGCCCATCAACCCGGTGCGGAGTTAGGGTTTAGGGTTTAGGGTTTAGGGTTTAGGGTTTGGGGTTTAGGGTTTAGGGTTGAGGGTTTCTTGCTGCTTCAATCCCGTTTGCTGCTGCATGCGTTTAGGTGTTGCTGCAGTATGCAATCTTCGATGTTTTGCATTTGCCTGCAGCCAGCCGCGCACTCCGACTCTCTTTGTGTAGGTCCCTGCATAATATCGATATTATAAATATGCATATTGTATATGTATATTTACATATATACTTATACATTTGCACTTATATATATATATACTTTTATTTATATTATATTGTTTGGGGGCGTCCGTTGCGCGTCTTTTATTGCATTTGCTTTTCAGTTGGATGTCTTTAAACATCTTTTTCCTCATTGGGTTGTTGTCTGCGTGAACTTTGCTTGCATGCATTTTGTTGTTGTTTTGCTTGCATGCATTTTGTTGTCTGCATGCAGTTTGCTGTTGTTTTATTTGCAGCTGTAGAAGGGCAGCGAGAGTGGCTGCAGCAGAGTGCATGCAGCGTCGCTTATTGTCGATTAAACCGCCCACTTTATAAAGCCCCAAGCTGCATGCAGGCATTGCCTGATGCTGCATCTTCTGCAGCAGCAGCAGCAGCAACAGCAGCAGCAGCAGGAGAACGTGTGAGCTATGAATGCCCTATGACACATTTTGCTTCCATTCACATTCCTCTGCATGGCTCTGCATGAAGCAGGAGCTGCTGCTGTTGCTGCTGCTCTTGCTGCTGCTGCTGCTGCATGCAGCAGCGATGGTTTCGGGGGATGTGCAAGTATTAACATCAGCTGCAGCAGCAGCTGCTACTGCTGGGGTGTATGCAGAGTCTGCCGCCCGTATCGACGGCCCCTGGGAGCGAAATTGAAGGGCTTGTGGCCGCTGTGGGGTCGGGATCGGGATCGGGATCGTTGCTGCTGAAGGTTAACTTAGGCGATCCCCGTATTGTTGCGCTTGCAGACAGCACAGAGGCCGCTGCTGTTTTAAAGAGACAGCGTAGGTTTGTTTAGTGTTTTGTTTGTTTTTTTTACTGTGGTGCACATATTATATATAAATAATATGCTTCTCTATTAATAAGAATATAATAATCATGTAGATACTCTATTATTGTTTATAATATATATATATATATATACATAATAATCATGTAGATATATTATTATTGTTTGTGCATATAAGCAATATATATAAATACATATTAATAGTAATAACAATGCATAAACATTATTATTATTCACAGCTACTAATCATATATAGCTAATAAATTTATTAACTATATTTATTAGTAAATAAGTATTATTTTAATAACTTACCCGTAGTAATAGATAAATAATAAATAAAAATAATATATATGATAATAACGCTCATAAGAATACTAATAAAACTGATTATATATGATAATAACAATAATAGACTGTATATGATAATAACAATAATAATAATAATAATAATAATAATATAATGATAATAATAATAATAGTAATATAATAATATATAAATACAAAAAACATCAATAACAATAATACCCCTACTAAAAATGCAAACAGACATCGTTTTTATTTGTGATTGTTATTAAATAAATAATTAATTAATAACCAACATAAAGATAAAATAAATAAATAATTAATTAATTAATTAATTAAGTAATTGCTTGAAATAAATGAATAATGAATTACTAACAATCATAAATATATTATTTAATTAATCTCTTTCTACTAGTGAAGACACCCGCAAATGCAAAATCAAACAAAGCCAAAGCAGAAAGAAAAAAAAGAAATAATAAATAAATAAATAAATAAATAAATAAATAGATAAATAAATAAATAAATAAATAAAAACAACAGCTGCACACAGCCATATGAAATAAACACCGAGGCTCCGCTGCTTGTTATTATTTATTTATTAATATTTTAATATTTTTAATTACCTCTTTATTCTTTGACTTTGTGTATGGGAAAGCAAACGACAATAAACACAAAAAACATAAAGAGCAGCCTCGGCCCAACATCTCACACCCTAAACCCTAAACCCTAAACCCTAAGCCCAAAGGCCTAACTTATCAGCCTCGCACGCAGCTATATCAGCGCATGCAAACAAACTCAATCTTCATTTTTGTGTTTTGTTTGAACAGCAAAAGTGGGAGATGTTCTGAGACTCTTCGTCAAGGGAAGACGCCCCCGCACCCGCTGCCTCCTCGTCAGCGTACTACCTCCAAACAGCAGCAGCAGCAGCAGCAGCAACAGCGGCGGCAGCAGCAGCAGCAGCGGCTGCAGTAACAGCAGCGGAGGCAGCACTGACAGCGGAGGCAGCGGTGACAGCAGCAGCAGCTGCAGCAACAGCAGAAGTAGCTGCAACAGCGACAGCAGCAGCAGCTGCAGCAACGACAGAAGCAGCAGCAGCAGCAGCCACTGAAGAAGACAGAGGCATGGACCACGCACTTTATTTTGTTGAATTTGTATAAAGACCCCCACTGCCTAGTTCTCAAGCTGCAGCAGCACCTGCTGCTGCAGCAGCTACTGCTGTTTCTGCTGCAGCAGCTGCTGCTGCTGCTTCAGCTGGTGGTGCTGCTGCAGCTGCTGCTGCTGGCGTGGTTCTGCTTCAGGTGTAGGAGAGGAGGTCTGGGTATTTCTTTAGAGCCTCTTCTTCTTCTATAAATCCACTGTCTGCCTGTACACCAACAGACAAGCGAAGAAAACACTAAAAAAATCAAACAAATTATTTTAGGTTGCGGTATGCGTAAAGGCTTCACTCCTCAGACAACAGACAAACCTCCTT